TTTAGAAAAGCATTGAAATGAAATTCTTCTCATAAACTGAAATTGAAGTAGCACGTCAAAAATGGATTGCCCATGTGCAACACTATCTTTCATATTTGTGGCCGGATTTTTACGATTTTAACAGAAGTTGCATCTTACAAATGGGAAATGAATGCAAGTGGAAATGCGCTTTATGTAAATCGTTTACGATTACTTTTTAACTTGTTACTTTTTTATTAGGTTATTTGCCTTTTCCACTTTACAAACAGTAGTCACTTCACAGAAATGTGACGCTAGTGTTCACTGTTCATTGTCATGTATTAATTTTACATTAATTATCTAATTTTACCAAAACAGTTCTGTTCTCGGCGTTTACTGGACTGTCAACGCCACCTACATCACAACCTCCATCCAGTAACACTGGTGTTTTACTAATGTTTAGGGAATGTATACAATTCTAAACCTCTACGATAATACTAATAATACTCAACAACAGAATCTGTACAACCTAAGAAGTTTAAGATTATTCTTACAGTCAAACCATCATGAACTTGGCAGGCCCACTACAGCAGACCATGGTTTTGCTTACTCATATCGTTAGTGTTCCGTTAGTGCACGTTAGTGCCGCTGAAGAAATCGTTAGTGCACAAAAGGAAACTTACTATTTTTAAAAAATATTTGTGGGCCTGCTAACTTCATGCCAGCAGGCCCATTTGAGAAAATCGATTCAATCTTTACACTAGTTCAACTAGAAGCGTTAGTGCTCGTTAGTGCCGCCAATATAAACGTTAGTGCTCAAAGTGTAACAGCTCAAAACGTTGTAAAAAGGGGTCTGCTAACTTCATGCAGCAGACCCACATTTGTCAAATTGGCTCTGTCCTAATGCGAATTTGAAGCGGCTCGTTAGTGCTTCACATGCGAACGTTAGTGCTGCAAGGGATCCGCGTCAAAAAGGTACCAAACCACCTCAAAATTAAACTTGACTTATTGGGACCTGCCAACTTCATGCCAGTAGACCAACGAGTGAAATCCGTTTGATTTTCTACTTTAATCGACCGGTAAGTATTAGTGCTCGTTAGTGCCGCCAATATAAACGTTAGTGCTCAAACTGTACCAGCTCAAAACGTTGTAAAAAGGGGTCTGCTAATTTCATGAAGCAGACGCACATTTGTCAAATTGGCCCTGTCCTAATGCGAATTGGAAGCGGCTCGTTAGTGCTTCACATTCGAACGTTAGTGCTGCAAGGGATCCGCATTAAAAAGGTACCAAATCACCTCAAAATTAAACGTTTCTTATTGGGACCTGCCAACTTCACGCCGGTAGACCAACAAACGAAATCTGTTTCTACTTTAATCGATCTATCAGTATTAGTGATCGTTAGTGTCGCAAAAAAAACGTTAGTGCTCAAAGCGCAAGAGCTCAAGCGTGAAATTGTGGGTTTGCTAAATTCATGCAGCACGCCCACATTTATTAAAGTGGTCCTGCCTTAATGCGAATCTGAAGCTTCTCGTTAGTGCTCGTTAGGACTTCACTTGTAAACGTCAGTGCTTTTAATGGATCCGTGTCGAAAAACTACCAAAGCATCTTAAAAATTAACTATAACTTTTAGGTTCTGCTGACAACACAACAACTAGCAAAATTTGTTTCCAATCCAAAAAAAAGTCGAAGAGAATGAACGAAATGTATTTTGGAACTATTTTTAATTTTTTACAGGCTAATAATGAAATGAATTTCTTAAAGCATCAGGGTGAAAAGTCGTAAGTATTTTCTTTTAATAAAAAGTCAAACGAGTACGATAAGGAGATAGTGGCGTTTGAAAATCAACAAACTTTCCCCCCAAAAATTAATTCCGACATACCGTATATTGTCAAATACCTTAATATATTAATACATGAAACTCGCTATTATTTGCATTTGCGTAACGCGAGACACGGAAAAGAGCGCCATCTACACGGCCCGGTGTAGAATGACGTATAATGAAGGCGTAAATTAATTATATTTTGGTTTGGTACCTTTTTGGTGCGGATCCCTTGCAGCACTAACGTTCGCATGTGAAGCACTAACGAGCACTAACGAGCTGCTTCATATTCGTATTAGGACAGGGCCAATTTGACAAATGTGGGTCTGCTGCATGGAGTTAGCAGACCCCTTTTTACAACGTTTTGAGCTGTTACACTTTGAGTACTAACGTTTATATTGGCGGCACTAACGAGCACTAACGCTCCTAGTTTAACTAGTGTAAAGATTGCATCGATTTTCTTAAATGGGTCTGCTGGCATGAAGGCACAAATATTTTTTAAAAATAGTAAGTTTCCTTTTGTGCACTAACGATTTCTTCAGCGGCACTAACGGAACACTAACGAATATGAGTAAGCAGAACCATGGTCTGCTGTAGTAGGCTGCCAAGTTCATGGACATGTCAAAACCGAACCAACTTGGGTACGATCGCACTCAAGCTAGTTCGGTTGGAACTGTATAGCAAAATTTATTTTTTTTGTGTTTTAGATTCGTTTGTAAAAACAACGGCGTATTATTTGAAAACGAATTAATCCAAATAGGAGTTAAAAGCGAATTTAGACAAAATTTAGGTCGTCTCGGTTTATTTTATGGTAATAAAACTACATTCCCATTGCAGTCGTTCGTTCCTACACTTTTATGGTCTGATGATCAAGCTGCAAAGATGAGTATTCAAATGAAACCCGTCGAGCCGTTATTGGAAGCTGGCGCTCAAATTCAGCAACTTATCAATGCGGAATGTATAGACGATTATACAGGTACGTAAATTGGCGATAATTTCTTTGTTCAAAATTGTTAAAGCAGTTTCATCTTATGGTCATGAAAAATCTCAATGTCCAAATTAATCCCCTTTTCCTCCAACCAGGCATGTCAAACTCGCGGCCCACCGTTCTAAAGTCTGTGGCCCGTCATGATATTAGCAAATTATAAAATTTATTTGTACTGTTTGTCCTATTTTGGTTGAGATTCTAGTGTATCTCAGCTGTTTACATTAGGGACCTTTTTTTTGTGGAACCACCACAAACAGAATCATTCCAGCTATGTTTGTTTCTGAGATACAGGCTGAAAACAAGAATTTGAAAAATTTCATTTTTTGGGATATTATTATATCTGACTTTTGGACCACTGCTTCTGAGATTTGACCCAAAATTGGTATTTTTAAATGCAACACCCTGTATATCTTAACATCAATTTTAATTTTTTTTGCATTCATTTTCCTGATGTATCACAATCTATATTTTTTAGATTGTAGCTATGAAAATCAATAAAAATCTTATTTTTTACAGTTTTTAAATAGTAGGAAATGGATTCATGGAGATTTTGTTTTGTATTCATGGTAACTAAGGCAGCCGATACCAATCAATAAAAAGGGTAACGGTAGAAACATATCATTTCAAAATTTTTAATACTGTATAAAATAATATATAATTATACAAAAACTATAGGATGTGATATATCAATGTAATCGGGAAAAATAATGCAAAAAATTGACGTTCAGATATACAGGGTGTTGCATTTAAGACATACCAACTTTGGATCAATTCTTAGAAACAGTGGTCCCAGAAACAAATGTAGCTAGATTGTGGTATTAAAAGTTTCACAAAAAAGTTGCATAGGGTCTCTATCTTTAAAAACAACTAAGTTACACTGCAGTGTCAACCAAAATAGGACACGCGATACATTTTCGCGAGCGCGGACTAATGGTTTTATAATTATTCGTATTTTTTCGTTCTATTGCATTATTTTTAGCGTATTTTCCAACGAAGTTCGGTGCGCTATTGCAGCTAGGCATAGGAATTTTTTCCGATATATCGATAGGTATCGTTAGTTATCGATATATCGAATAACAATAGGTAGAGCTAAAAAATTCGATATATCGATAGATCGATAACTATTGATATATCGACACTAATCGATAAGTATCGATTATCGATACCTATCGATATGTCGATAACTATTGATATATCGATACCTATTGGAACGATAAAATTATGTTATTGTTGAGATTTCAACGAGCGCTACTATTTTTATTAATAAAATCCATTTTCGGGTTTACTCTCGTGTAAATTTACTATTTTTAGTTGCTCGACGTTTCGGAAACTTAACTTTGCTCCCTTTCTCAAGAGAAGCGCTACGTCACATCATCATCCATGCCAAATAAACGCAGTAATAAAATCTTTAGAAAATAGATCTTTTCGTCTTACTGACGATTGCTCAAAAAAAGAAGCACTTCAAAAACTTGAACAAAATGTTGCATCAAAATGGCTACTCTTTAGATAAAATAAAGAAGACAATCAAAGGGTGTAATCATGGCCTATGTATCGGTATCTGATTGATGGTTACAGAGGACCAGTCACAAAAAAACAGAAAAAGCTAAGAACACTTCAAATTTAGATATACAGTTTCAATTGATTGACATTTACGAAATCTAACAAAAAAACTCTTGATAAAGGTAGCAAAGAAACGTCGAGTAACTATTAATAGTCACTTTACACGAGAATAAACCGGAAAATGGATTTTATTAATAAAACTCGATAAGATAACTATCCCTGTCGACAACTATCGATACGTCGAATATTTCTCTCAAATGAGGCGTGCAATTACCGCTTAATTACAGCGGTAATTGCATTGTAGAAAGCTAAAGAGCCCTGCGATAATTGCACAGTTAATACGGCAAGAACTGCATTCGGTTATTTTCATATTTTGTTAAAAGAGCCCTCTTGTCTTGTCGGGCTCTTTCGCCAAAATATAAAAGTAAACTCATGCAGTTTTTAGACACGCTTTCAAAAAAATTATTGGTAATATTATATCGATACCTATATATTAAAAACTATCGCCATAACGAGAACTATCGATATACCGATACTTATCGATATAGCGACAGTTATCGATCTTTCGATAGTTATCGGTGTATCGATAACCATTGATATTTTGATAATTATCGGCATATCAATAAGTAAAATATATCGATAGGTAACTACCAGATACTTATATCGATAGGTGAAAACAGTTATCGCCCATCCCTAGCGATAACTATCGATATATCGATACCTATCGATAGTATTCATATATCGATAACTATCGAAATATCGATAACTATCGATATATCGATAGACAAATCGATAACTATTGATATATCGATAACTATCGACATATCGATCGATAACTATCGACATATCGATAGGTATCGATATATCGATAACCATCGATATTTCGATAATTATCGGCATATCGATAAGTAAAATATATCGATAGGTAAGTACCCGATACTTATCGATAGGTGAAAACAGTTATCGCCCATCCCTAATTGCAGCCACTTTCTCTGTCCGTCCGTCTGAGGCCTTAACTACTCCTACATTTTCAAGATAGATAGAAAAATCTTGTCGATTAGAGTGCGCATGCGCAGGCTGCGCAATATCAACTTTCTTGTTGATTAATATATTTTGTTGAAATTTCATCCACAGATAGTTCTAGTAACCATATCGCATATAGTAAAAAGAAGATGTGCGCATGCAGAGACTGCGCAATGGCAACTTTCTTTGAAATGTTAATTTTAACCAAAGATGCTTTTAGTGAAAGCAAACGTATCGCATATTGTAAACATCAGATTAATGCGCGCATGCGCAGGGTGCCAAATATCAACTGTCTTATTTATCAAAATATTTTTTTGAAATTTTAGACTTATCTCATATTGTAAACATTAGATGTGCTCATGCGCAGTCTATACGCATTCTGCGTACCCTTATTTATGAAGATATTTCTTTGAAATATTAACCATAGATGCCTCTAGTAAAGAAAAACATAGCGCACATACCCATGGCCTTTTGGGAAGTACTGATCAATGCATGGAAAATGCGTCAAAGTTACTCGCCTTGACACGCCTGGTCTAGACTATGATTTATGTTACTTCCTAAAGAAGCTCTAATGCCCCTTATAACTAACCTTTACAAAATTGAATAAAACAAAACTCGTTTAACCATTACAGATACTCCAAGTATGGTGATATCCTTTATTTACAACAATCTTCCTCAAAAAATTACGATAAAACTGCCACTCACAATAAACAAATTCTTTGAACCGACGGAAATGAATGGCGAATCATTTTTCGCCAGATGGAAAAATTTGGGAAGGTATACACGTCGTTTTGTGAATATTCGAGTATTAATATGCGGATATTTTGCAGCTCAAATCAGCAAAGATCGCAAAAGATATTTAAGGCGAATGGCGTAATGGATTTACAAGCGACCCGTACAAAACTCATGGGTTTCGGAATGCAATTGCTCGATGGTATCGATCCTAATCCCGATAATTTCGTCTGCGCTGGTATAGTGCATATGCGTTCTCAACAAGTGGGGTGTCTGCTTCGTTTGGAACCAAACAGAAACGCTCAGGTACTTGTTTTTCTTTGTTTATGTTTCTCTAATGTATTTGGTTTGCAGATGTATAGACTTACGGTGCGTTCTAGCAAAGAGAGTGTCTCGGTGGAAGTTTGTGATCTCCTAGCTGAACAATTTTAATGTAAAACAGTTCCCATTAGCAAAATATTCTATTCATTTGCTCTTAGTCATATACATATTTCACTCTCTGCGTTCATCAACAACATAACACTCTTTAGCCTGAAATCTTCCTTACTAAATTCATGTTGTACGTGTTACGAGATACTAAGGACCTATCATGCATGAATTGAGACAATATACTTGTGAATTTCAAATGTGCAAATGTTCTTGCCTGTGGATGTTTAAATGTTTATTAGCTCTTTACACTATTTTTATGTTCTAATCTATAGTAAAGATGGAGTTCAAAAGAGGATCAACAATTTTACGCACAGATGTTTTTATTTTAGATTTCGTTATAGTTGATAGGGTTCACTATTATTACGTTCTTTGGGTAATCGAGAAGTAAAACATGATCTACAAGCGCATATAATGCACTTTATTAAAATTACTCGTGTGATTTGGATTGTTTTTATATATACAAGGTGTTGCCGATCACGAAATGGTACCTATTTCAAATTTGATTTTCTGTTTGTCAGCAAACCGTTTCATGACCGTCAATTCTAGTCTGACTATTAATCGTAGTAATTTCACACTTTTAATTTTATTTTTAATAGTGTACCCTTTAATTGTTGTTTTATAATACTCCATACAGACATATCTCCGTGCTGTTACCAATTATTTTAAGCCATCGAAGCATATTGCTATTTGTATAATTTGAAAGGTGATACTGACATTTTCTGGTTAATCTATCTGTAGAAATGACGTTTTATTCTCGACTCCTTTACTGGCCACGTAGAATAAAATGCAGCGCTTGAACTCAATAGAATTTAAATGCTACATATATTATTGTATAAAAATAACGAGTATATAATTGGCAGTTTAAATTAAGTCATGTTAAAGGTCTATATGAATGCAAATGTTAACATGATGACTATATCATAGTTTTAAGACTTGAAATGGATTTCTGTTAATTTAATTGACATTTTTTTAATACGAAGTTATCGAACATTATTTCAAATCTAATAAATGTTATAATTTGTATATGTTCATTGTATAAATTATCTTATGTAGGTAGATGTAAATCTATACGATTCCAGTTTTATTTGTATTTTTTATATGTTATATTAGTATTGTGCATCATATTCATTGTATAAATAATATATGTAATATAGAAGGAAATATACTCATGAATTTTTAGCCCATTTTTTCAGAACTAAAAAAATGTGTTGTTCTATGTACTTTGTCAGTAATTGAAGTGCTTTTAAATGAATTTTTTTTAAATAAATCATAGCTATTTTGATGTCGACATTGTTGGAATATTTGAAAGTACGTCTTGTGGCGTATTTGCTGTATACCCTTAGAATCCGCGCTGCCTAGTTGCAGCTGACAAGTGTAATACACAGCCAACATTTCATTCGACAGTCGGCCATTGTTAATTTATTGCTAGTGCTGTCGTTTACATGCGTGTTTTTGTAAAGTCTACAGAAAGAGGAAGACATTACATTTGATGTTAGTTATTAGATTTTTGAAAAATAAATTGGGAGAGCTTAAAAGATCTCGTAAAAATATTACTAAAACACTGATGCAAGTGAAAATGCCACCATTGGCCCGTATGAATAAAAGTAAGCAAATGCTTATACTTGAAAAATTCAAAGTAAATACTTGTAAGTGCTCCTTCGCACTAGGCGACTTAGCAGCGCTGCTAAGCAGAAGGACAGGACGCAGTGCAGCGCTGCTAAACAAACCAGTATAAAGGGACACTTACGAGTATTTACTTTGAATTTTGCAAGTATAAGCATTTGCTTATTTTTATTCATACGGCCCATTGTTTCAAATGAGGTATCTCTGTCAAAAACTATACAATTGCTGACGAACGACATTGCATGTCTAAAGTCTGTAAACACAAAGCTCCTTATTCAATAAACTGATTCCACTGACCGCCGCCAGTCTCATTAAGTTGTCCACAACCTTTTTTTCGGCAACCTGTGTGCAGATGTGAAATGTGTCACGTTCTTTACAGTATCAATATCATGATAACTACATTAGGGTGCACATGTACACTGATAATTTAACATAGGTAGGTATTGATATTATATCTTACATTTTATCCAAGTTTTTTGTAATAAACATCCCAGTTTTTGTAGATTAAATAAAGAAAATAAATTAATAATTCTAATTAGTTACAAATTTTTTTATGATACGTTCCCGTAAAAACCTCGTGCCGGGCCCCACGTTGTTGCTGCTTCACGCGGTTTTTTTAACTTTTGTTTGTGTTTATTACTAATAATTCATTTATTGTCTATAGTCAAGGAACGTTGCGACCGGTATATGAATAGTTAACCACTCGAAAACTTCGCTCGTTAATAAAAAATGTGGGTTACTGTTTGGAAAAACAATTGTATGACGTCACGGCGCTAAAAACTCACATTAAAATAACACACTGCCAAAATTTTAATGAAATCAGTATAACCGTTTGACCGAAAAATATTTTAGTTTTTTAATTTTGATATTTTTTTGGAATAAAACCTAACAATATTTTTCCGGACCCTTTTTTTGTTTCCGTATCCCTTTTATACATCTCCAAAATTTGAACAAAATCCGTTGAGCAGTTATTTCGGAAAATTACCAATGTACATATGGAGTACATACAGACTAAACCTTGCAATAAGTTTTTTTTGTAAAGAAAACTATACTAAATGCAATAAAATTATTATTATTATGGAGTACATACAGACGGAAAAAAGTTTCATTTTTAAAAGTTGCGTAAAATGATGTAAAACTAACTTAAGGAGAGAGCCCATTTCGTTGCACTGGAAGTGACAGCTATTTTATTTCAGTTTCGCGGGTGTCACGTGTCACCTGCCGGCCCTCAGCGAAATACGTCACACGCTACTTGGTAGCGCTGCTGAGTAACACCACTAAGAAGCGAGCGCTATATTTTGTTTGCAACTTATGCGCCCCATGCAAGCCCATTCCACCAACAAACAGATCATAAAATGTTTTCCGTTCAGAATGCGCGTAGTCGAAGTCGTGCGTTTCAGCGGGAGTCGACCACTGCCCGCCACCGTGGGGCTTCTAAATCGGTGGTCGCGCTTGATTGAATAGCTCCATATTTTGAAACAATGTTTCTTCAAAACGCACCACCAAAGTAGTACCTATATTCACAGGGGAGCTCGACCAGGTAGCACTTAGCCATACATCAAATGCTCACTGTGCCTACCACCTTTCTTTCGCAACTAGGTTCAGAGCCCGTTCTTCTCAATAAAGAATAGAACTCTGTTTATCCTAAGTTGCTTCACCCTCCTCGGTTCCAGATAGCTGTCGTCAAGGAGCTAAGGTCTGTCTCTGGTCAGGGCGTTCCAGTGACAGACCACATGCTCTGTAGTTTCATCTGCCTCGCCACAGACGTGGACTGCCCACAAGCTCAAAGTGATAGTTGACCATCCGATTTAGAAACTTAGAAGATCCAGAGTGACTTATATCTCTGCGGTGTTGGTAAGATAACCCGGATCACATCCCTTCTTGCGGGGAGAGGATGGGATCTGAGGGTTTCCTTCCAGATCCGCTCGTGCCCAAAGCTGCCTCGATACTTCCACTCATCGTTTAATTGTATGGAAGCCTTCCGAACCTCTGCCTCCACAGTTAAGTGTAAAGGCGTGGTTTCCATGGCTTCAGTGACTCCCAGACAGGCGAATCTTTGAACCGTTTCCTAGCTGTTTCCTATAGGTGCGCATGGCAGGCCACCATACAAGTGCACCGTACAGTATTGTTGACGTTATCACTACATTGTATAGCCAATATACCAGTCGAGGGTTCAAGCCCCATAGTACACCCAAAAGTCCTACATGCCCATAGACATGCAGTGTGCTTTTTTGCTTATTCGCCTTATGTGCCCTTTCCAAGTGAGGCCCATCAAGGTCCGCATTCCTTCTGTTCGTAAATGGAACAACCTCGGTCTTTTCCGGGTTAACGGAGAGGTCATGACTCATGACTACGGCTCCACCTATCCACCTGTTCATCAAGAGCTCCCTGCATGAGCTCTTTCACGGTTTTTTGAAACTTTTCAGTTATGACGATCGCGAGAACGTCCGCGTATCCGGGTGTATACGCTCCGTTCTCGTTCAGAGTGCGGAGGAACCCGTCTAGTAGTACCAGGCACCACAGCAGTGGAGACAACATTCCACCCTGCGGACTTCTTCTAGTAACCATAATGACCTCATATCCGTCGCCCGGAATGAGATATAATGACTGTTTCCGACATGGAGCGGATCCATCTTACGATGATAATGGGTCCATCATTGCCTAGCCTTCAGCAGCCTCACTAATTGAATCGAACGTGGTGATGTCAAACGCACCCTCGATATCTGGAAACGCTCCCAGAGCCGTCTCCGTGGACATGCCAGCTTTGTAAGCATGTTCGAATGGATGTATTGATCGAAGGACCAGTACCCCGATTCGCTTATGTATCCGCATCCACCAGCCTCTCCGCCGAGAAACGATCTGTGGCGCCGCCAGAAATATTTCAATAGGTACACTTGGTAACTTGGGGCCAATGTATTTTAGGTTGGGCTATAATTCGTGACACTTGTATTATGTAGAGAGATATTCAATTGACAAATATGTACGCAAATTTATTTATTGCACATTGTTAACTTTTGTTTATTAGTAGGGCAAACAGGAATTGGCCCAATAGGTAAAAACATATTAAAACTCGATACGAAGCATTATACATACAGGGTGGCACAACGACAAAACAGACTGAGAAACTCGAAAGGAAATAGAGTTTTTGGGAAAAAACGGATAAACGGTTCGATTTTGGTTAGAAGGTAGACATTTTTTACTTAAAAATGTACACCCTTCGCGTCAACGCCCTAAGGAGGGTGACCACTCCATCAATAATTTTAAATTGAATGTTGGGTCGAGTGACACATCATTGGAAAGGGCTCTTAATTTCCTATACGCCTACGGTTTTGGGCCATAAGTTCGCCATTTGTGGACCTACAAGAAACATTGAATGGGAAAATAATCAGCATAAAATTTTGCATATTTTTGCCCATTTAATCGACTTTGTGCCGCTTACGGTTTACGAGATCTGGGGAAATTAAAAAAAAACACTTTGTATAGTGAATTTAATTGGGCATTATTGGAGAAATGCGAACAAAGTGAAAGGATCCTCGGACCGCATTCACGGCGCAATTCGCAATCAGCTCATGGGAGAATCATTATCATTTTTTCAAGGATGGACCAAGGGGGGCCGAGCAACACTACGAATGGGCCAGGGTCCACGCCCTGGCGGCGCCACTGCTTGTAATCCTTCGCCATGTCATGTTTGGCACGACCCCGGATTAGGTAATAGGTAGGTACACAACTCTCTACAGGTCCGTAGCCAGAGCTGATCTGTAAGTAGGGCTTAGCATTTCTGAAGTAGGGCAGACAATTTTGTAATAAAGGTGAGGCATATTTGTGATTAAAAAAATTGAAGGAACGTTTGCAATAACACCAAATACCTGCCAGTATATGAAATTTTATTTTCTTAATACTATAATCATATCATTACTAGACTAGTATAACTGAAGTCTTTTGTTGCGTAGTTAAATTTTTTTAGAACTTCGTCAATGTCTATGTCCTCGAATGCTCAAAAGCGAGATAAACTAAATCAGTCATTCTCGGATGTTTCATAGCCGTTAAAGCTGAAAATGTAGGTACTTTCGCATACAGCAGTGCTACATCCGAAGGTGGCGACTGTGGCAAGTAACTCATAGGTTTCCTTAAATGCCTCACGCTAATTGTAAAGCACTTGAAACATTTCCTCGCCCCGTTTTCTATCTAAATACGATTTGACGACTGTCATTTCTTCGTGAGTAGGTATTTTTACACCTTAAAAAGCTTTTGGGGCTATACCCTAAAGCCAGGGAGCTCTAAAGAGCTGCAACAAATGTAGGAACAGCGCCTGCAGGCCCTTCTGCAGAAGAGCCGGGAATATCCCTTCCGGTCGTCCACTTTTAAATGAGCTGAACGTGTTGACCGCCCATGGCAGACATCCCTCGGTAACCACCGGGGCAGCTACTTTCCAGTGTATTTGCCGGCTAGTGTGGCGCAGTTCAATTGAAGGTGGACTGTGGTGCTAGGGGTCCCTGGTTCGAATTAAATTAAATTTCCTTTTATTGCCCAACAGAAAAACAAACATTCCGAATCCG